GGATTCCTGCCCCATCCCCAGGGGCTAGGGCGGGGCCCCAAAGGGAACATTTACCAATATTTTCAAATTCTTATCCTTTGATGACATGACAAGTATTGTATTTCACTTAGTTTACATGCTGATTTCCACATCACATCTAAACAATAAAATAAAGCTACCAGTACCTATGATATAACTCAGGTGACCGCTAAGGCCCTTGGGCCTCTTGTTATAACATTGAGTTTATTTGAGTCAAGCTGGATAACAATGATTTGACTTTTGTAAGGCCATAAAATAAATTATGTGCATGTATGTTTCAGGTAACATGACTGAAAAAATAGGGTAGGTTGGTCAGGATTTTTAATTTTTTAATTTTTTGAGGGTGGGGGTGGTGTAATTTAAATTTAAGACATTAAAAAAACTACCAAACATATTTTAGGTCTTTTAGATAATAATGTTGGATTGATACTCGCTATGAAGTATATAAATGTAGAGAGGGTTGTATAAACTTTATTTTACAACAATTATGAAACACGTTATTTCAATTTATATGTAAGCACCCGGAGTATAGTACCCAGAGAAAACATACAATGTCAGGCAGGTGACCCCATACCTTTTTTGCATCCGGTTGGGGAATCGAACCATCCACCGGTGGGCAAGTTATCCCAATAATGAATGGAGTGTGTTTGAGTGAGACAAAATTTGCGGGAGAAGTCAATTAATAAGTTGGAAAAACTTACCGACTAATCCCTTTGTTGTCAATAAAATATATTAAAACTAAACTAAAAAAGAATGTTAGGGTTACAGGTAAAAACTAGATTGGGTGGGGTATGAAACATACATATCTTGTTTGGCCTTTTATTGCCCAAAGAATCTTTAAAAATTGCATACTTGTTCTTTGGAACACATTCTGAATGAAAAGATGAACATCAAATAATTTGTATGTCAGAGGTGGGAGTCCATTACATTCTGTATGCATGTATTGACATATTTTTTTTTATATATTCATATTTTTAGCTCACCTGGCACGAAGTGCCAAGTGAGCTTATGCCGTGGCGCGGCGTCCGTCGTCCGTCCGTCCGTCCGGCGTCCGGCATCAATATTTTACTTTAAACGACTTCTTCTTAAAAACAGAAAGGCCTAGGGTGTCGATATTTGGCCAGAAGCAAACTTGGATGAAGGGCTACAAAGTTTGTTAAAATTAATGACCTTCACCTATTTTCAAGGTCACAGGTGTCAAATATAAAAAACCAACTTTAAACATCTTCTTCTCAATAACCAAAATGCCCAGGGTGATGATATGTGGCCAGTAGCTAGCTGAGATAAAGGGCTACAAAGTTTGTTAAAATTAATGACCTTCACCTATTTTCAAGGTAACAGGTGTCAAATATAAAAAACCAACTTTAAACATCTTCTTCTCAATAGCCAAAATGCCCAGGGAGTTGATATTCGGCCAGTAGCATGCTTGGGTGAAGGGCTACCAAGTTTGTTGAAATGAATGACCTTCAATCATATTCAAGGTCACAGGGGTCAATTGTATAAAAAAAAACTTTAAACAACTTCTTCTGAATAACAAAAATGCCCAGGGAGATGATCTTCGGCCAGAAGCATGCTTGGGTGAAGGGCTACCAAGTTTGTTGAAATGAATGACCTTCAATCATATTCAAGGTCACAGGGGTCAAATATGTGAAAAACATTCAACAACTTCTTCTGAATAACAAAAATGCCCAGGGTGATGATATGTGGCCAGTAGCTAGCTGAGATGAAGGGCTACAAAGTTTGTTCAAATGAATGACCTTCACCCATATTCAAGGTCACAGGGGTCAAATATGTCAAAAACTTTTAAACAACTTCTTCTGAATAACAAAAATGCCCAGGGTGATGATATGTGGCCAGTAGCTAGCTGAGATAAAGGGCTACAAAGTTTGTTCAAATGAATGACCTTCACCCATATTCAAGGTCACAGGGGTCAATTGTATAAAAAAAAACTTTAAACAACTTCTTCTGATTAAACAAAATGCCTAGGGCATTGATATTTGCCAGTAGCATGCCGAGATAAAGGGCTACAAAGTTTGTTCAAATGCATGACCTTCACCCATATTCGAGGTCACAGGGGTCAAATATGTGAAAAACATTCAACAACTTCTTCTGAATAACAAAAATGCCCAGGGTGATGATATGTGGCCAGTAGCTAGCTGAGATGAAGGGCTACAAAGTTTGTCAAAATTAATGACCTTCACCTATTTTCAAGGTCACAGGTGTCAAATATAAAAAACCAACTTTAAACATCTTCTTCTCAATAGCCAAAATGCCCAGGGAGTTGATATTCGGCCAGTAGCATGCTTGGATGAAGGGCTACAAAGTTTGTTCAAATGAATGACCTTAACCCATATTCAAGGTCATAGGGGTCAAATATGTCAAAAACTTTTAAACAACTTCTTCTGAATAACAAAAATGCCCAGGGTGATGATATTTGGCCAGTAGCATGCTGGGATGAAGGGCTACAAAGTTTGTTCAAATGCATGACCTTCACCCATATTCAAGGTCATAGGGGTCAAATATGTCAAAAACTTTTAAACAACTTCTTCTGAATAACCAAAATGCACAGGGTGATGAAATTTGGCCAGTAGCATGCTGGGATGAAGGGCTACAAAGTTTGTTCAAATGAATGACCTTCACCTATATTCAAGGTCATAGGGGTCAAATATGTCAAAAACTTTAAACAACTTCTTCTGAATAAACAAAATGCCTAGGGTATTGATATTTGCCAGTAGCATGCTGAGATAAAGGGCTACAAAGTTTGTTCAAATAAATGACCTTCATCTATATTCAAGGTCACAGGGGTCAAATATGTGAAAAACATTCAACAACTTCTTCTGAATAACCAAAATGCACAGGGTGATGATNAGGGTGATGATATTTGGCCAGTAGCATGCTGAGATGAAGGGCTACAAAGTTTGTTCAAATGCATGACCTTCACCCATATTCAAGGTCACAGGGGTCAAATATGTTAAAAACTTTAAACAACTTCTTCTGAATAACCAAAATGATGAGGGTGATGATATTTGGTCAGTAGCATGCTAGGATCAAGGGCTACCAAGTTAGTATAAATGTATGACCTCGAATCATATTCAAGGTCACAAGGAGCAAATATGTTCAAAATATTTCAACAACTTGTTCTGAATAACCAAAAGGCTCAGGATGTTGATATTTAGCCAGTAGCATATGCTGGGATCGAGGACTACTTTGTTTGTTAAAGTGAATGACTTTGACTTATATTCAAGGTCACAGGGGTCAATTTTTGTTAAATCTTTAAACAACCTCTTTTGAACTACCATGGGTCCCAGGATGTTTATACTTTGCAAGTTCAACATAATGACTTTGTTCGACTTTTAATCACATGGGTGAAATGTCCAAAAAAAAATAAGGGTCTTTTGAATGAATTTTAATCATATATACTGATATTTTTCCTGTAGCTTTATTTTAGATCACTTTTAAGGTTACAAGTGTGAGTTTTATACCAGGTGAGCGATGCAGGCCCATTGGGCGTCTTGTTTTTACCATACGCTTTAGTCATTAACTCAGCTTTTAGAATATTAATTCTTTCTTGGACAGTTGCACCATGGAGAAATACTTCATTGTCAGTGATTTGTAAAACCTTGTGAAGAAAGTGGGCTAGTTTCTGTCAACTTCATGTACGGGGTATATATCCTGAAGTGCAGAGGTCATAGGATTTAATATATTTTATGTAGAAAATCTAATTTTCAGTACCTGCAAAGGTATTATTAAAAATTGAATGTTGTAACCAACTTTTGTAGTCATTAATATTTTACATTCAGTATCAGATCTGGGTTAAATGTGTATTCTCTTTTGGTAACAGATAAAATGGGTTATGTTTGTGTTTCTGCAGTTTTTCTGTATAACGAGCTTTACATTCAAAGTTGTGTTTTTACTCACTCATTTAACTCTACACCAATAGATCACACTTAATAACTCACAAATTTTAAGTTCCATCATATGACACATCTATCAAGAAAATTAAAAAACAAAAATTGATGTATCTGGCTAATAGATCTTTTAAAATATTTTTCGTAGATTGTTTGTATGCATCAGATGACATTGTACATTAAAGATAAGGTATAGCTGAATTTGCTCCGATACCAACAAATTAATGGTGTGATAAAATAAGATTTTGTTGTTGTCACTAGGTTTTCTGGATTTTGTTATATGGAATGTTCAGTTCCCTTACAATTTGAACAAAATTTAATGTCAAAATGGTCAGACCAACATGATTAATTACTTTCCTATAAGATTCATCAGTTTGGAAATACATGTAGAGCACTGTAATAGAGTGAATTGAAGTTTTACTTCATACACAGACAATATGTACCTATCAAACGTGTCGCAATGTTCAATACCTACATTGCTTGTGTGTAAAGTAAAACTTGAATATGATTGATTACTTCTGAGACGTATTTTCTAACAACCATTTTAATTGCTGTTTGGCCTTTTCATAAGAATTTCAATGATTCTGAGGTATATGTTGTAATGTTAGAGAAACTTTCAAAACTTTCAGTGATCATTAAAACTTAATTATTTGCCTACGTAATTACTTGCTTTCAATATTCACTTTTTTTTCAGGTAAAACGTGCTGATGGAGTTTCAGATAGCATGGAATTTTCCATGTGTATAAATTGTGCTGGAGCCTGGGCTGGGGAAATTGCTAAAATGGCAGGTATAGGAACAGGTCCGGGACCCCTATCAGTTTGCCTACCTGTCGAACCAAGGTAAGTCTGTCGAGATCATTGAAATTCCAGAGATTTGATTTGTTTCTGGTGGAAAAAAACCTGAGTAGTGTACTTGTATCAGCCGCAAAGTGGCCTGGCATATACAGATCCTTTGATTTCATCATGATTGATATTCCAGGGGTGCAGAAAACGTCAGAGAGCTGAACCCCTAGAATTTCGAGGATGGTCTGTAGAAAGATTCAATTTAAGACTATATGTACATGTCGGTGTCACTAGAAATGCCATGCTGTATTCAGGCAAAGGGCTTACACTGGACCTCAAGTCTTTAAGTCTGTAAAATCTCTGCCATTTAAAAGAGATAACCGACTGCGCATGCTTGTATGTATGTACATGTATTATCATTAGTTATCATGTTTATACAATGTGATAAAAAAATACTATTTCATTGTATTATTCTTGGCCAGTGTCATGCTGATCATGACAGTTTAACCAAAGGCAAACACCAAACTTGTACGTAGCTTGTTTGTCAGTTTGAAAAGACAATGGCAAAAGCGTATTAGTCTCCCTAATGTTCTACCAATAGGTTTGCTCTTTGTAAGGACATGTATGTCACTTTGCCTGAGGCATGTCTCAAATACTTTTTAACCTATTGTTGCTTATAATTTTGTTAACAGTAGAAAGTGTTGTGTTCTAAAATCCTTTCACGTGCCCCTTTTTGTACATAATTATGGCCCCTTGTTCACCTTGCATCACTTTGCACAGCACATATCTAATATACAGTCACCAAATTTGATGTGTGAGTACTCATTTGATTGGTTGACATAGTGACACATACATGCATCAGGTTTGATGTTTAACTTTCTGTAGAGTTATGCCCCTTTAATCAGTTTTCATACAGATGTTTGTCAGATGCGGGGGCAAGGCTTACAATCTTCGTCTTCTTCANTCATGAAGTTTCATGAATTATTCATAATCATTTCGCAGGGGTATCTACCAACCATACATCCTTATCTTTACATAGAGTGATGATGTTTTTTGACAGGAAAAGATTTGTGTATGTAGCCCACTGTCCAGACGGGCCAGGACTTGAATGCCCCATGTTGGTTGATACGTCAGGCATGTACTTTCGACCAGAAGGATTAGGAGGGCACTTCCTTCTTGGAGGCAGTCCATATGAGGTTTGTCCAAGATTTAGTCAAGATATTCTTATCGTATGATTGATGCCAGTAATTGAATGGGTGGTCGGGCGTGGCACAGTGGATAGCACACTGGCCCTTCACCAAGACAGTTGAGGCTAGATTCCCCGATGGATGTGAAAAGGTTTGTGGTCACCTGCCCAAACATATGGGTTTCGTAGGGTATTCTGGTATCTTTCTTCATTAAGATCCTCTGTGCACTTCCATCTGAGCTAACAAGAGTGATTCATATACCGGGTAAGTTAGAAAAATGTTTCGCAAATGTTGTAAAATAAATATTATTTTAATTTTAATATTGTGGGAGGTATAGTGGCAACCATCGGGTCCAGAGCTTGGCTTTACTGTATAGCACCCTGTCAGGAAATAGCGTACTGCTATCCATTTTCTTTGTTTTATTTACATTGTAGAATTAAACAAGAGATCCCAGAGGGATCTTAATTGGCGCCCACCTTTGTACCATCTTCATTAGTTCTCTGTCAGTTCGATCTTTTCTCTTCTTTCCTCTAATCTGTTTGATCGAGTCATGTTAACAGTAAATGCACCTTGAGGTAACTTTTGATCTAAACTCAATACTGATGTGTATGAAAGCCAACCTTCAAAGTGAGTTTGTCATTTCACATATTTACTAGTACATGTACAGTACTTCATGTGAAAGAAATAGAATTGATCATTGCAATATGAGAAAGATCTGTTTAGTTCTTCTTTTAATCCATTTTGTTTTTATGATCAGTCTCAAAATATAACATACACAACGAGGGATCAAGGGGAAACCTACATATAAAATTTGAGAAGGATCCCTTCCGTACTTCCCGAGAAATAGCGATAACAAACTTTCACTATCAAAATCAAAGATGGCTGCCTGTCGGCCATGTTGTTTATCCGATCAGTCTCTAAAATTGCCCTGCACAGCTAGGACCAAGGGGAACCTACATATAAAATTTGAGAAGGATCCCTCTGGTACTTCTTGAGAAATAGCGATAACAAACTTTCAATATCAAAATCAAAGATGGCTGCCTGTCGGCATGTTGTTTATCTGATCAGTCTCAAAAAAATGCCCTGCACAGCTAAGGACCAAGGGGAACCTACATATAAAATTTGAGAAGGATCCCTCCCGTACTTCCCAAGAAATAGCGATAACAAACTTTCACTATCAAAATCAAAGATGGCTGCCTGTCGGCATGTTGTTTATCTGATCAGTCTCAAAAGTTGCCCTGCACAGCTAAGGACCAAGGGGAACCTACATATAAAATTTGAGAAAGATCTCTCTGATACTTCCCGAGAAATAGTGATAACAAACTTTCACTATCAAAATCCAAGATGGCTGCCTGTCGGCCATATTGTTTATTCGATCAGTCTCAAAAGTTGCCCTGCACAGCTAAGGACCAAGGGGAACCTACATATAAAATTTGAGAAAGATCTCTCTGATACTTCCCGAGAAATAGTGATAACAAACTTTCACTATCAAAATCAAAGATGGCTGCCTGTCGGCATGTTGTTTATCTGAGCAGTCTCAAAAAAATGCCCTGCACAGCTAAGGACGAAGGGGAACCTACATATAAAATTTGAGAAGGATCCCTCTGGTACTTCTTGAGAAATAGCGATAACAAACTTTCAATATCAAAATCAAAGATGGCTGCCTGTCGGCATGTTGTTTAACTGAGCAGTCTCAAAAAAATGCCCTGCACAGCTAAGGACGAAGGGGAACCTACATATAAAATTTGAGAAAGATCCCTCTGGTACTTCTTGAGAAATAGCGATAACAAACTTTCAATATCAAAATCCAAGATGGCTGCCTGTCGGCCATGTTGTTTATCCGATCAGTCTCTAAAATTGCCCTGCACAGCTAGGACCAAGGGGAACCTACATATAAAATTTGAGAAGGATCCCTCCCGTACTTCCCAAGAAATAGCGATAACAAACTTTCACTATCAAAATCAAAGATGGCTGCCTGTCGGCCATGTTGTTTATCTGATCAGTCTCAAAAAAATGCCCTGCACAGCTAAGGACCAAGGGGAACCGGCATATAAAATTTGAGAAAGATCCCTCTGGTAAAATTCGACTAAGAACATAATTTTCAAGAATGTATATTGTGGTATAAAGGAGACATGTTTTTGTTCATAAATCAAAAGCTTACACATATGTATTTTTATTACTACATGATGTACTGTCACCGTATGCTTTGGTTTCCAGGACAGGGAACCAGATGTCAGTAACCTAGAGGTGGACTACAGTTTCTTTGACGAGGAGGTGTGGCCACATTTAGCTCACAGGGTACCTTCCTTCGAAAAGCTCAAGGTATTTTACAAAAATAAAAATAATAATATAACCCAGCTGATGTACTGTTCATGTACTGATTTTATCGCAGCATTTCATAGCTGCAGTGTACTCACGTACTTGTGTTTGAAAATTTTGTTGTCAACCAACTATTTTTTTTTCAAATAATATGTGATGCCGTAGTACTCCCAGAGGCATGCACTTTATTACCAACACCTAAATATAAGCATTATACAGTGTATGTACCAAATAGCGTTCAAATCAGTGCAGTACTTTTGTCGGAGTAGTATGAACAATGTCTATCAACAAAGGGGCATAACTCCATAAATTTGGGAGGTCGTTCCAATCTGTATACTCTATTCACATTCCCTCTATATGATTATTCATGCTAATTATTATACTATTGTTTTTATTTTCAGTTGAAAAGTGCATGGGCTGGTTACTATGACTACAACACCTTCGACCAAAACCTGATGATAGGCCCCCATCCTCATCACAAGAACTTTTTCTTTGCCAATGGGATGAGTGGGCACGGAGTCCAGCAGGCACTGTGTATTGGTCACGCCTTGATGGAGCTCATCCTGTATGAGAAATATGATTCAATCAACCTAGATCTATTCAGGTTCGAACGCACAGAACCACTGCTAGAATTGGGGATTGTGTAAGGTGAATGTGGGTCTAAACAAACAATCAATATGCAACAACATGTTTTTTATTGAGGAATGTTCCATTTATAAACATATAGGGCAGTGGGGGTATCTTATAAATGATGTATAGGTAGTGGGCCTGGAACTGTAAATACAATGCACTAGATTTCAGCTCCCAAAGGCTTTAAGCCCTGCAAGTGTCAGTCTAAATTCAAAGCTATACATTATCTTGTTTGTTGTGTATGTAAATTTAAACAGTCATACAGCATCTTGTAGATGCTATTCTTATTCTCACCTGCTGGTCTAATTCACACCAAACCTTGTGGATGCTAGTCAAATTCACACAAAATCTTGCGGGTGCTAGAGTAATTCACACAAAATTTTGTTATATACATTAAATTATGCATCATACCATGATATTAGCGTCTTGACTGAGCCATCCTTGATACATACATTTTCTGCACTCCTCAAATATGTCATGACAACAGGGAAGGCTCAGTGTACGCCATCTTGAGTACGAGACGAGAAGATCAGTTTGATTCGATGAACGGTAAAATTGACTGGCTTTGGAGTCTGGTGTTGCTCTTCTGAAATCTTAAAAGGACAGGTATCAGTCTGGCAGTTGGTCAGGGTGTGTGTCTTCAATTTTGCTGACATATTTCAGGGGTGCAGAGACTGTAAGTGAGCCTAACCCCTGGAGTATTGAGGATGTGACGGGGGAAGTAGTTATACCAGTTAGCTCAAGAAGGACTTGACATACTCCTACAGATCAAAAACCCTCCTAGCTTTAGCCTAGTTTATGTAGGCAAGTGCCTGTGATATATATAGTATCTAAACGTAAAGGAGAAGGAAGAACCATCTACTCAAAATTATTTTATTTTTAAATACTGCATGCTGGGAAATTTTGTAGGAATCAGTTTTGTTGTAGTCAGACAAAATTTGACATAAGCAAAATAAAATATATAATGGATTAAATTTCCATCTTTGTCCAACTTGTTTAAGGTATCAAGTTAGAAAAGATTGATTTAGAAGTGAAGACCAGCATCTACTCAGAATATCAGTATCATATTTAATGAAATGAGGATTTTTTATCTGTAAGTTTCTATATACATATGTAATGATATATTATTACTGTATACTCATTTCAAATTTGGAGGGTTGTTTGAATCTGTTTGACATAATGAGATGATTTTACTCCTTTCAACTCCTATATGTGTTAGAAAGGATTTTTTTTTACTCATCCCAGATCCAGTTGAACAGATTTTATTTTATTTACACTATAATTATGTTTGCTTTCGGACATAATTACACAGATTACAGTTTGATGGCATTTACCTATGTGTATCTACTTGTATTTGTTTGTAGATGTGTGTGCTTTGTGTATACATTATAATGTATTTGAATACATATACTGGCATATCAAGTCAGAGTATTATCTAGCCAGAACTTGTTACTTTGCCAGTGATTATGTAAGTCATGTGCTTGATATTTATTCAGTGTATATTAGAATGACCCTATAGCATGGAGTACATACTGTGAAATCAGATATTTTCGTGGGCCCAAAATTTCATGGTTTCCCTAAAAACTTCGCTTTTGTGGGTACATAAATTTGTGAATTTCAAGTTAAAAGAAGAATGTCTTTTTGTCTTTTATATAAACTTGTAATTACTTCATAGGCATATATGAATTCATAGATGAAGTTTACCCAAGAAATCAAGGTAATAAAAAAAAACCCCAAAAAGTAGTGATTTCCCAGTATGACTTTCAGTAATACAGTATTAAATAGCTTACTTTTATAAGACATTATTTGATATTTTTGAGATATGACTTTATGAATATTCAATTACCCAGTTATATATTTTATTAGGGAATGTAATGTACATGGTTTTGATGGATACTCAGGTTTTAAACAAAAAACATTGAACTTATTACTCGCTTATTATGTCCACTGTGGAACATTAAAAGACCATAATTTGTCAGAATTTTACTCAGGATTATGGGGATTTTTACGAATCTGCAGGATTACTAGAATTATATTGTTGTGTACAACTGAAGATGATATGTATGTACCAGTGTAACAGCCACTTCTTTCCCCCGGGGAAAGAATCAGCTAGCTGATTTCTTAGGGAAAAAACTAACTGAGGGGGGAAAGAATCGGCTAGCTGATTCATTCCCCCGGGGAAAAATCAACTAGCCCATTTCTTTTTTCCCTGGGGAAAGAAATGACTTCTACACCTGTATAGAGGCTGTGATGTTAATATTCTTTCCACATCGGCGAGAAAATGCAATGTTGTGATCTTTTGGGTCATATGGAATATAATACATATGTTTAAGCAGATGGCATTGAGGTATAAATTTATGGTTTATTTTTATCATTTTAACACTTTCATAGTATTTTTTTTATCCGCCCCTCACCAATTTCCTCATGTTTCAATTGTGCAACAATTAAATGGACTAGATGATGTGATGTGTGAAAATGTTCAGTACGGCCAAAAAACGTTAATATGTTAAATATACAGTGCTTTTTATTGTACATGTATGTGCACTTATTTATACCTGAACAAATTATTTGTTCATACATTAAACAAAGATTTATTGAGGTGTAAAATGTGTTTTTGTCTTGACTTTAATTTTCTTCTTACATAATTTCTATATGTTAGTCAGCTTGGAGATCATAATAATTATATCATACTGCTTCCATTTGTTTTCAACTGATCACAGAGCTAGAAAAATGATAATCAATTTTATGATATTTTCAATGGGTGATCTATACATAGGTGTCAACCTCTGAAACCTCCATTATGAGGGAGATCTCTCTCATTCCACATTTCCAATGAGGGAGAATGTGCATGAAACTGATTTATGTAAAATATCCTAAGTCTCGCTAGCCTAAACTAGTCTCCATTGATCACTGATACTATTTTGATAACTTGCATAATTTTGAAAGAAACATTAATGCACACTTACAAATACATTTGAGAGACATTTTATTTGATAAAAATAAAACATTTTGTAGAAATATGTGGCAAATACAAGTACAATGTTTTGAAGTATGTGAAATTGAAATCAATAAATATGGACGGTTTATTTGCTGTTTTGACTAAAGTTTGTCTGGGGTTATATACATCAACACACTTAATTCTCAATGTATCCAAAGTATTCTCAGGGTTTGAGTGCCATTTCCATCCAACCCTGTCCAACATCTTGACTGTGCTGTGATACTTTTCCGTTGTTAAACATCAGATCACTGGATACACACCTCAATGTCCACTATTTTAGATGCCTATCTACTTTTTTTCTGGCCTCTCTGTGGCTAAAATGAAAATAAAAGAAATTAGAATTTCCATACATTCATGAGTTTTCAAAAATTTATATTTGGTAACTTTGCAATGATTTATTAATGATAACTACCTTTGGTATCAAGTAAATGTGTTAAATGAGTTAGGAGGTAAGTAAACACTGTGTAGTCAGGATAAAAGAAGATAAATTTGCACCTTTTTTGCCAAAAGCACTTACTACTGTATGCATGAAAAATTATTGAAATAAGTTAGAACTTTACATGCATTTAACAAGAAATCAAAAAGGTATTTTACTGAGCCTCAGTTGAATTATCATCAAATGATATACATAAAACAGTCATAGACATCCTTAAAGATGGGTTCCCATTGAATCTCAGTAATTATTCCCAATTTAAATGGTATACATGTAATACAAGTGTACTTATGTGTTTTTTCCAGTATCGAAGAAATTCTTAACTTTCCATAAATTATACCATTGGAAGGAAATCTAAAGATAAGTGATGCTGCTAAAATAATAATGTTATTATATATATATATATAGAGATATAAAATATAATTTGTTTTAGACTAATCCGTATTTAATGAATCAACTAAAACATTCTATGTGACTCATAATAAGATTATGCTAACAATCCATAGACTTTATTATTTAGAAAATGTATCAAAATGCAATATGTCAGATTTCTTTATACATAATATCATACTGTTTGTGTGCTAGCAATACAAAATCCATTTTTAACGCATTACAAGAAATGCATGTTGTTAATGCTTTTATTCATTCACCCCTGAAGACACATTTGAATTCTTCCAGTTCAAAGGTTGGAAGAGTTTATCATAAATTTCAGTGGTGAATGAAATAAATACTGAAGATTGTAATGGAAACCCATCTTTCTGAAAATGTATTATTTTCTATAAAAAATAAAGATTTTCCCATATTTTTTTTTACACAACTGACAAATATCATTAAGAATGGCATTCAGTTACTGAAATAATATTCATATCTGAATAATTTCGTCCATCTTTAGACAATATAAAAATGCTGAAAATGTTTAATTTTTTGTTATTGAACCAAGGATAAAAAATTATTTTAGATCAAACCAATGTACTTTGGTACTATCAGGATTAAGGAGTCTGCAGGCTATGAGAGTTGAGACATGAATCACCATCAAGGGATTGTTGAGGGAAGTGTGGAAGGGGATTCATGCAACACCATCACAGGTGCCACTCATTGAACGATGAGATATTAGCAAGGTCAGCCTCTAGTTTGTGCCATTTAATGATATCCATCTGACTAACACATCTGATATGCATTGCATAATACAATTTTTTTTTTCACATTCAAGTAGACCTTAAAACTATGAGATCAACTAGCTGATCTAAAGTATGCAGAATAATCTGTTATAATTGGAGACTCCTTGGACCATATAATTTGGTTGGTTTGCATAGAGCAATCTACTTGTTTATTTTGTCATTTTCGGAACCAATGTCGTATAATGGCGGTCCAGATAAAATTTTGATATGACAGAGTCTGTTTAAGACAGAGTGTACTGTACTTGGCTTATTTTAAATTTATTATTTAGATGAACTTGGGTTTTAGATACTGAGCATGGTTCTTTTCAAATGGAATAGCATCACAGAGCATCTTACTACAACTGTTTCAAAGTTTATGTCCAACAGGTACACTGGTACATGAATAGGACAGTTCTAGCGGGTTCTATCTTGCATTGATTACCCAATAATATACAACATAAATCAACACAACAGTTGCATCATTTACACATGTATACATAGGATTGATAATTCTCAGCATAAGGTAATGATGTTCTAGGTATAAATTTATACGTCTGTACTGTACTGGCACCTAGCTTCCAAGACTGCCTACTGTCCTATCAGCCTCAGTTATTGTAAAGTACAATTTTGTTTCAACAGTGTATATCTATGCAGATGCAAAAATTAAAAAATAACAAGAAAATTAATTCTTTAGGTATTTCGCTGCGAATAGGGCTGCAACAATATATCGTGATAATTTGTACACAAATGATATATTGCAGGTTTTGTCATTTCTGAATTGAGTCTACTCATATCCGTTCCAACATGGTGAGTGACTGCTCCCGCTCGGCATGCTCGTCAAAAGGAAAACTTTAGAGCCAGAGAATGAAGACCTGTACAGCAGCGAAAGGCCTTGAGAATCGGTCTGCTTGTGTGGTTTTTTGATATTTTTTTTGTATCATTTTCCTGTCACACGGGACTTTAATTACTGAATGTATGTATATACATATAGAAAATTGTACCCTATCCGTTAAGATTTAATATCGCAATGACACAAACAAGGATAACGCTGGGGTCATTTAGGTTTTGAGAAACACTAATCGTGCTCATTAGGCAGTGAAATCCAAAGTCAACAATCACCCAATACCAGCCAATACCAATACCTGTAGCCAATACATGCAGCAACACAAGCTAGTACACCACTCAATCACCCCAAACGGGTTTTATTTCATTAATGGAGCCATCATGAACTCATCTTCTTTTTCTTTGATATCTTAAGCAATAAACTGATTTTATTTATGGCAGTATAAGCAATATGAATTCCATATTACCCCCCCCCCCCCCCCCCCCCGTACTGGTGCATTACCCCATAGCTATAAAAAAAAATGTGTGATATTTCATTAAAATATCCTGTATAATTCATTGTGTTCATATTGTTGCTTATAATTGCCAAATGAAAGCAGTTCAATGCTGATATTTACATTCTGACTTGAGTATAACATTACAAGGACACATTTGGTTAGGACTATTTAGAGGAACATTAAAACCATACATGTTATGCTGTGTTGTGGTTGCATACAAACAAGACATTGGGTTTATGAACCACACTAGATAATATTACATGTCACGAAATGAGCACATTCAGCGGCTACTTACTGTTTCCACTGTGGAGAAAGAAATGGTATATTAATTCTTAATCAATATTTTATATTTTGATTCAAAATACAAGTACATATATTACACATGAATAAGACTTGCTTTCAATATATCTTATTTTTTAACTTTTCAACCTTACTGGACAAAAAATTACGGAGTTATTATAATACAAACATGATATTAACAACAGAAGACTATAAAATAAGGGCATATATGACAAATAAACCTGTCCTTTAAATGTTCCAATACATTAACAGTACTGGTATAATGTTTTTTCCCCACTTGAAATGGACAACTTCAAATATTTGATAAAAAGAATTGATGGTTGTAGATGATCTGACTCTCTTTCATCGCTGTAGAAAATGTACGAGAACACCTTTTTAAAATAAGATTTGTCTGTTTTATCTTTATCATGTAACCAATCAATCATTTGAATAGATTCAATTCTAACTTACCTGGCTCCGACAGTTTCTGGTAGATGGGGGCTAGAATTTCGTCAAAAGCCTGTTTCTGTATGAGGAAGTCCTGTGTGGTAGCATCAGTCGTACTATCAACCCACTCTGTTTTCTCCTTACATGTGTTCAGGGTCAGGTTCTACAACAGACAATTATGAAATGTCAGAGGTGAATGAGTTAAGGTGGAAACTTGGCAAACTGGCTCTATTTTCTCCCAGCCCTATGTATGGGGGAAAGGGTGCACATATTGGTAAAATGATATTTTGTTTTTACCATACCTTGTCATCTTTATTGAGTCTGCCTTGCACCTTCTCAGGGTCTGCAAGTGTTTCCTGTGCAGTGCGGATAGCATCCTGTAGAGCCACTTTAGCTTCTAAAACAACAAAGAGAAAAATCATTATTTAAAAAAAATAAACCAAAAATTTGACCTTCGATAAAACAAAGATAAATGAGAGCCTCATCTTTTATAAGCACCCCTGTTATTTTTTGGGTCTGAACATCGCATCATTTTGTCATAATTCATTTATTTATTTGAAGAAAGTGTCTAAGCTATATTTTTGAAAATATGCGGAGGTAAAGCACCCATTCTATTTTCCCACAACTTGCTAAGTATGTGGTACACAACTGGATATGTCTTTATTTCATAACTGTCTATTTACACAAAAGTTCAAAAATCAGTTTGTCCCTGTGCATTCATATTCATGTCCATTTAAAGATATGTTTAAATTGGTTTCCATGTTAAGATGTATATATCAGATTCAAGTAACACGGGCATTGCATGCGGGGGCATTGCATGCTTGCTATTTATTACTGGTGATGCATGGTATTGTTGATGGTTCATTATTATTATTAGGAACGGGATGTTAATGATTCAGACTGATGTATGGGTAGCATTGGGCTTATGTAATCACCCTGGCATTGCATGGCTTTCAAGCTGGTGTTCAAAGTTTCGTTGCACTTCTTAAAATTCACTATAAATATAACATTCAAATTTATTGATATTTGTCATGGAAGTTCCTGAGAGTTTAGCATTGTTGAACAAACAGAGTTTGCATTAAACTATTTTGATTTCGGATAACAGCTCTTATTTCCATGAACATGTTGACTAAAAACTGACCTGCCCAATCTAGGTAATCCACACACTCTGTTTGGTGGTATCTTAGCGCAGTCTCCCTCGGCCGTTCATTATTTGTGTTTCTCTGCTGTAGCCCAGCCTGGGCTTCGATGAGAACTTTAAGTACACCAATACGTCCCCACGCACTGGCATGATGAAGGGCACAATAGCCTGCAGGAAAAATACAACAGTTAGGATTTGATATTAATTAAATAGAGAATAATACATGCCTTTTTCCATATCACACCCAGTATCAACCCGAGACTGCAATATCAGCCCAAGGGCCGAAGGCCTGAGGGCTGATATTAGTCGAGGGTTGATACTGGGTGTGATATGGAAAAAGTGTTGTTTTATTTTGTTTATTACATACTTACTAATAAAAGCTACTATCTTATGATAATTTTTTCTTTTGAAATATTGAAAAACGAAAAAAAAATCAAAAAGGGGTGTGGAAAAAGTCATGATTTATTCTGTTTATTACATACTTACTAATAAAAGCTACTATCTTACAATAAAAAAAAATCTTTTTGAAATATTGAAAAACGAAAAAAATTCCAAAAGGGGTGTGATACAGGTTTTGCGGGCTGATACGGGTTTTGGGGTGCGATACGGCGGGGGCTGATACGGCTTTTGGGGTGTGATACGGCGAGGGCTGATATGGGTAAGAGCAATTGTGTCGTATCGCATATACAAAAAACCCGTATTTATTAGTAAGTATGTAATAAAGACTGTTATTACACTTTCTGTCCAGTTTCTGAAGTGATACTTTGTGTTTTTCAGTTTAAATCTATCTATATTGCATAATTATGTACATACATAGGATCAGCTGATATTAAAAAAAGTGCCAGGTGCCAATGGTCCGAACAATAAAATGACTTTGACACATCAGTTTTTGCTAATGGCCTTCTATCACACTTTTTTCACTACATCTGAAAGAGGTGTTATTTTGTGTTTTCATGTAAAATTCTGAAGGCTGATCGCCCTGAGCGAAAGGGAAAGTCAAATTGTGTTTTTCTCCAATCGTGCCAATATAACTTTATCTGGCTTCACTGTTCCAGATTATATAAAATTCACTTTTTTTTTCAGTGAATATTGAATGTTGTTAGAGTTTAATTTTTCTGGCCAGACAGTAGGATGAATTCATCCTCCACTTATTGGGATCCACTCTCATGGATCACAGGTCACTCACAGCTCTGGTTCTTGAATATAAATGTCACAGTGAAATTATTTAGGTATGACACATCACTATTATAATAAATAATTGGGTTCTAGAATGTATATAACATTTTTATCAGGCAGATGTTTCTGCAAAGTTCAAATGATGTTGATATTTGGTTGTGATGTTGATAAGTTGATTCAGTGTTATTTGTTCAATGCTGAAATGTTGATGTAATAAGACGTTGAAACAACATTGATTAATTTAATTTTTATCAACCTCAGTGACATTGCTGAATGCTAATGTTCACCAACCTGTTGTTAAACATATTGATGATATCCTGTATTCTATATTTTGCTATTTCTATTTTTCATCAGTTTAGTTAACCCTTACTGTACTGTACCTTATACTATTGTAATAGGACGAGGAGTAGAGATAAAGATAGTGCCGTCGCTGGGGCTCAAACCCGCCACCCTTGGCTCTCCAGCCTGATGCTCTACCGCTGAGCTAAAGGGAAATTCCCTACATCTGACGCTTGTAAGGCTTGCAATCAACATATTTTACAATATTACATGATTAACAAACTAATGATTTATTTCATGTCTGCCTATATATGTCTGTTTAACTATTGCACCCCACTATACTATCAAGTATCAGGCTATATATTTTCTATAACCCATTTATTTATTATTATACAGTACTGTAGTGATGTGTCACAGATCGCCGTTTCCAAACGGCCAAACGATAACGCATATGATTACAGATACCTTTTGTTGTTACAGAATTCACATCAGCTCCTCGTGCAATAAGTTCTTTAGCAATATCTACGCGTCCTAACGTAGCTGCAATATCGAGGGGTGTCTTCCCATCTTCATCACGCTGGTTTATCAGCTCGGCAACTGTCTCTTTATAGGGATCCTCGTCGCTCTCAAAACTTTTTGTAAGTCTCTCTACATCATTTTTCAATACACAGTGAGTTACAATCGTAGTGTTCGGAAGCAAAACCTCTACCTCTTCTACGGGTTCTTCTTCTCCTGATTGCCCCTCAGTTGTCGGTGTTTCGTTCGTCATTTTTTTTACAAAACGTTCTATGTTGTTTCCATCCAAACAAATGACGTTTTTGTCAAGGTCTCTCTGGCGTTTACAGAGAAAGCAAGTGCAGTTGGATTTAAGCGTCTAAATGACTGCAACATTTATCACGGGCAGTAACTCTTTGCACGCATGTTACCATTAAAAGAGCTGAAGCGCTCTTATTCTTTAAGTTTTAAGTCAATTATATGACAGAACAAGCTAAATGTTCCCTCTTTAAAAACGGCTATGCAATTATATAATTTACTGTTAAATATATATCTTTACATATAATGACGGACACACGATTTCCTTTCCGTTTATAAATAGAAATTGAATCAATGTCGTCTGTAAAAAGTAAAATGTAAAGTGTAGAGTGTACCTAAATGATACATACATTTGTAGAATGCCTGTAGCATTATAGAATTGTATTACATTATATGTCAAACGCTTATTGACTCATTGAATTGATGTTCATTGGATTATGTGATCCCTTTAATTTCCCTGTAATTTTAATTATTATATAAGAAAGTCAATGTACACGTGCATGTACATGAACTACTTTAAGACACGGAGTCACTGAAGATCACTGAATGCATATATATGAGCATTGAGTATAAAATAATGTATTTTTTTTAGACCATATCAATGTTGCAGGTAAACTGATTTAAAGATGCATGCTCAGCATGCATGTACCTAACGCGCCATACATATTAACTTTTTATAATAAGATAATGTTTCCTTTCTTTTTTCATGCTTATAAAACAGGTTTTTTTCATAAATCGTTTTTTATACACATGAATGAAGCAGATTATCTGCTTTTAATATCTCATTACTTAAAATGGCAGAATCAGAGATTATCTTAAAAATCGTAGGTCCAGTGTCTTCTACTTGTCTGTTAATTTTTAATCACCACACAAAATCAGAGAGAGGGTACCCTGTTTATATGTCTGTTACATGTTGGTACGTTTGTTATGTATGTATTTATGTATTGTTTGTCCGTTACATGTTTATACCGTCTATATGTGTTGTGTAGCAACGACACAATACATAGACATACATTGTATGTCTGTTACATGATTGTATGTCTGTTGCGTGTGTGAAGTAACGTCGGCTTTGTATCAGTCTGTGCTTCTGCAGTGTATCTGTCTGTACGTCTATTACGTATACATGATTGTACATCTGTTGCATATCTGTCTGTATGTCTGTTACGTATCTTGATGTGTGCATGTATGTTACATGTTTGTACATTTTTTGCGTGTGTGTACTTGTCTGTTGTGTATCTGTCTGTATGTCTGTTAAATTTTTGTACATCTGTTGCATATATGTTTGTATTTCTGTTGTGTTTCTGTATGTACCTCTAATATATGGCTGTCTGTATGTCTGTTACGTATATTTCTGTAGTCCTGTTGTCTGTATGCTGTTTGTCTGTTGATATCTGTCAGTACACCTGTTGTGTATCTGTCTGTACACCTGTTGTGTATCTGTATGTACACCTGTTGTGTATCTGTATGTACATCTGTTGTGTATNTTCTGTTGCAATTAGTTTGTGGTTTATCATCAGGTGACTAGACTATATCTATTTGTATGTATGTTATATGATTGCACGTCTGTTGCGTGTCTGAACGCCTGTTACGCATCTGTCTGTACGTCTGTTACTGATTGTTGTTCTGTGTCATACTGCCTAGGTATGTCTGTTTCATGTGTGTACGTCTGTTTTATATCTGTCTGTACTGTACTGTGCTGTGTTTACATGTATGTATGTACGTCTGTTAGATGATTGTACGTTTATTGTGTATCTGCATGAATGTGTATCTGCCTGTATGTCCGTTCCATATTTTGTGTATCTGTCTGTACGACTGTTACGTTTCTGTATATTTGTTACGTATTGTGTGTCTGTTGCGTATCTGTCTGTATAATGTTACCAGTTTATAGGTTTGTTGTGTATCTGTCTGCACGTACGTCTGTTGCGTATCTGTCTACGTACGTCTGTTGTGTATCTGTCTGTACGTCTGTTACCAGTCTGTACATCTGTTTTGTATCTATCTTTACCTCTGTTACATGTTTGTACGTCTGTTGTGTATCTGTGCGTCTGTTTTGTATCTGTGCGTCTGCTGTGTATGGACGTCTGTTGTATATCTGTACGTCTGTTGGGTATGTGTACGTATGTTGTGTATGTGTACGTCTGTTGTGTATCTGTGCGTGTGTTGTGTATGTGTACGTCTGTTGTGTATCTGTGCGTGTGTTGTGTATGTGTACGTCTGTTGTGTATTTGTGCGTCTGTTGTGTATCTGTGCGTCTGTTTTGTATCTGTGCGTCTGCTGTGTATGTACGTCTGTTGTGTGTCTGTGCGTCTGTTGTGTATCTGTACGTCTGTTGTGTCTTTGTGCGTCTGCTGTGTATCTTTACGTCTGTTGTGTATCTGTGCGTCTGTTGTGTATCTGTACGTCTGTTGTGTATTTGTGCGTCTGCTGTGTATCTTTACGTCTGTTGTATATCTGTGCGTCTGTTATGTATCTGTACGTCTGTTGTGTATCTGTACGTCTGCTGTGTATCTGTACGTCTGTTGTGTATCTGTGCGTGTGTTGTGTATGTGTACGTCTGTTGTGTATGTGTACGTCTGCTGTGTATCTTTACGTCTGTTGTGTATATGTACGTCTGTTGTGTATCTGTACGTCTGTTGTGTATCTGTACGTCTGCTGTGTATCTGTACGTCTGTTGTGTATCTGTGCGTGTGTTGTGTATCTGTGTGTCTGTTGTGTATGTGTACGTATGTTGTGTATCTGTACGTCTGCTGTGTATCTGTACGTCTGTTGTGTATCTGTGCGTCTGTTTTGTATCTGTACGTCTGTTGTGTTTCTGTACGTCTGTTGTGTATGTGTACGTATGTTGTGTATGTGTACGTCTGTTGTGCATCTGTACGTCTGTTGTATATCTGTGCGTCTGTTGTGTATGTGTACGTTTGTTGTATATCTGTGCGTCTGTTTTGTATCTGTACATCTGTTGTGTATCTGTACGTCTGTTGTGTATGTGTACGTCTGTTGTGTATCTGTGCGTCTGTTTTGTATCTGTGCGTCTGTTGTGTATCTGTACGTCTTTTGTGTATGTGTATGTCTGTTGTGTATGCTTACGTCTGTTGTGTATGGGTACGTCTGTTGTGTATTTGTGCGTCTGCTGTGTATATTTACGTCTGTTGTATATCTGTGCCTCTGTTGTGTATGTGTACATCTGTTGTGTATCTGTACGTCTTTTGTGTATGCGTACGTCTGTTGAGTATCTGTACGTCTGTTTTGTATGTGTGCGTCTGCTGTGTATGTGCGTGTGTTGTGTATGTGTACGTATGTTGGTTGTGTATATGTACGTCTGTTGTGTATTTGTACGTCTGTTGTGTACCTGTACGTCTGTTGTGTTTGTGTTCGTATGTTGTGTATCTGTACGTCTTTTGTGTATGTGTACGTTTGTTGTATATCTGGGCGTCTGTTGTGTATGTGTACATGTGTTGTGTATGCGTACGTCTGTTGGGTATGTGTACGTCTGTTATGTATGTGCACGTCTGTTGTGTATGTGCACGTCTGTTGTGTATGTGCACGTATGTTGTGTATGTGTACGTTTGTTGAATATCTGTGCGTCTGTTATGTATCTGGACGTCTGTTGTGTATCTCTACGTCTGTTGTGTATCTCTACGTCTTTTGTGTATGCGTACGTCTGTTGTGTATGTTTACGTATGTTGTGTATGTGTACGTAGGTTGTGTATGTGTACGTATGTTGGTTGTGTATATGTACGTCTGTTGTGTATGTTTACGTATGTTGTGTATGTGTACGTAGGTTGTGTATGTGTACGTAGGTTGTGTATGTGTACGTATGTTGTTTATCTGTACGTCTGCTGTGTATCTGTACGACTGTTGTGTATCTGTATGTCTGTTGTGTATGCTTACGTCTGTTGTGTATGTTTACGTCTGTTGTGTATGCGTATGTCTGTGTACGTCTGTTGTGTTTCTGTACGTCTGTACGTCTGTTGTATATCTGTGCGTCTGTTTTGTACGTCTGTTGTGTTTGTGTTCGTATGTTGTGTATCTGTACTTTTATTGTGTATCTCTGCCTCTGTTTTGTATCTGTGCGTCTGTTTTTTTTATCTGTACGCCTGTTGTGTATCTGTATGTCTGTTGTGAATCTGTACGTCTGTTGTTTACCTGCACGTCTGTTGTCTATGTGTACGTCTGTTGTGTTTCTGTACGTCTGTTGTGTATTTGTGCGTCTGCTGTGTATGTGCGTGTGTTGTGTATCTGTACGTCTTTTGTGTATGCGTACGTCTGTTGTGTACCTGTACGTCTGTTGTGTACCTGCACGTCTGTTGTCTATGTGTACGTCTGTTGTCTGTACGTCTGTTGTGTATGCGTACGGCTGTTGTGTATCTGTGCCTCTGTTTTGTATCTGTGCGTCTGCTGTGTATGTGCGTCTGTTGTGTATCTGTATGTTTGTTGTGTATCTGTGCGTGTGTTGTGTATCTGTGTGTCTGTTTTGTATCTGTGCGCCTGTTGTGTATCTGTGCCTCTGTTTTGTATCTGTACGTCTGTTGTGTACCTGCACGTCTGTTGTGTATGTGTACGTCTGTTGTGTATGCGTATGTCTGTTGTGTATCTGTGCGTCTGTTCTGTATCTGTACGTCTGTTGTGTATCTGTGCGTCTGTTGTGTATCATTGCGGAATGGAAGGAATAAGAGTTTATACGAGTTATCTCCCGTCGGCTGCACGATTTCATCGCATACATTTCGCAGCGTTACATAGTATGCACAGTTTCTTATAAACTCCACTAAAAAGAGAAGAAAACATTATAATTATGTATGCATTCTCGGTCCTAGGCCAGGGCAGGTGAATGGACAGAAATCACGATGTCGCCCAAATAACTTACTGTAAACAATAAAACGGAACTATTTGCCGTGATTACTTGTTCATTTATCATGCTAACACATTATATGATCATTGTGTCAAATACAATAATGTTCTGAGTATTAAGCTGTGTTTACAAATATTAAGTATATGGATGTAATCACTAATATCCGTACAGATCGAACATCTTAAAGCTTTACACGGATGTTTATTAAAAGTGGGCCACTATTTCATGAACTGAGTCAACTCAGGTCACTTAATTCTTCACATTATNCCCCCCCCCCCCCCCCCGTGCCATTGTGGAAGAGAAACGCCACAATGTTCTTTACTGTAAATAGCCACAAGAACAATTTGAAACATCAACATTTTAACCTGCCATTTTAATGATCCTCGTATCACTTCAAAAAAACTGTAAGTGTTGGAAACTGTTTTTTTCGGCATGACAATAGCTTTGATCAATCATTTCTGAAAAAAATTATTGCTGGACTTTTTTGAGAAATAATAAAGACGAATTAAAAAAAATGTAATAATCATCGAGGCTAGACCGAGAATCGAACCCTGACCTTCATATTGATATGCATGCTGTCGGTCTAATCGATTGAGATTTGGTTTTATTTTGTTTAACGTCCTATCAACAGCTGAGTTCACTAAGGACGTGTCTCCAAGTGTATTGTATGTGTGTGTGTGTGTGTGTCTTTGTGTGTACAGGTGACTGGGTATGTTGGTTTGTTTGCCTCCTTGTGATAGCGCGGCTCTGATGCCAACTTTATACTGCTATCTCACTAAAATACCATGCCGAATGCACACAGCACAGCATTCCGCCCGGTCACATTATACTGACAACGGGTGAACCAGTTGTTGCCATTACCCTAAACGCTGAATGTTAAGCAGGGAATAACAACTACCATTTTTAAGGACTTTGATATGTCCCGACCTGGGGAAAGGACCGCCACCTTGTTGATGAGACAAGAAGACTAGTTCGATCCTTTGATGTAACATCAAAAGAATCTCGCGATCGGGTAACGGTAACAATTGACAGGCTTTGAAGTCGGGTGCAATGGGTGCAGCAGATTTATTTCGGTTGCTTTGTATCCCCTAGTAGAGGGCACAGAAGCAATTCCTAGGGTTACAACATTAGTTGCCTCTTACGATACATAATGCGGGTAACAGCAGGTGTATTCTTTTCTCGATCCCCGACCTGCAGGGGTGGACGTTTGTTGAATTAATAAGTTGTATCCAAACGGAAGCTAAGGGGAGGTTACTGTTTATAGGAAGAAACAAATGTAGTGGGACCGGGATCCTTAAGGCGAACAACACATTTTGGAGGCGCTAAATTATCCCAAAGAACGTTGTGAAACAGCACACATTTGCACACGCGATGACAGGCGTACAATACGTCAATCAACTATATCATTTTCCTCAGTGGGACCTTGTACGGTTACGTAATTTTAGATCAGGTCGTGACATCATTGTTTTGCAAGAATGCAAATAAGGCTCTTTAAGCGACTTTACCGTAAATTCGATTTTGATTGACTGTGAACGGCCCAAGTTCATTACGTATTCCCGCCCATGATGTTGATACACCTTTGTGGACAGTGTATTGAAATACTTTATGATAGATAATTAATGTCAGCGGTCTGTTTAACTCCGCCCCATCTACAAGACAAATACAGCATCACTCACACTGTAACATGTATATAACTATGTAGGTGGATCGTAGTATGAACTCAGTGAACGTTACAGGTATGGAGTGGATAAAGGTGTTCCTTATTACGGTAAGTCTGTTATTTTCGCATGTAAAGACACACTGTATACACTCCAGGTAACACGCGTTATGTATGTACATGTACACAAAGACGTCGACAGCCTTTCTCTGTAACATACATCAACATGACTAACACTACAAAATAAACCTCCACGGAAAACTCATAATACTTCAACTACATATGTATATATATATATATATATATACATATTATTTTGTCTGTACGGCTGACTAATTGAGTCCGAATACATGTATCAACCAATTCCTCGAATTACTTTATAATGATTGTTATATGCCCGTAGTACCAAATGAATGTCTCTAAAATCGGATGTAAATATATACTACCGGTATGCATATACCTATAAGAAATGCTCACCAAGTAGATAGGTAAGTTAAACAATAGACAGTGTTAAAGGAAGGTCTTTTGTTAAAATAAACAATAGACAATGTGACGCCAGGAAATTATACCTTCACAATAGCTAAATATGTAATTAATTAACCTTAATTTCAGCATGTATTGACCTTACGGTGTGCGTGAATATTTGATAACTTCTAATTAATTCGATACCTATATACATGGAGAGAAAGTGGAAGCTATGTACGGAGGTGACTTTTATCGTCAGAGAACAATCGCTAGCGGACGTGGTGACATGATTAAGTCACACAACTTGACATGTGGCTAGTTATGATGTTTTGAATGTTAATTAGTTACGAGTTTTCAACTCTATCACCTGTCCGTGTTTAAACCACTCAGGCGGGCATGTTTATCAGGAATATAAAGTCTATATGTAATTCAAAGTGTCAGTATCGCTATATACTGCCTTATGCATATATATACATTTAATGTATCTTTCATTCGACAATGAGCAGCACAAATCATTATGGTAAAGGGATATTCTTATTCATTTATTTTAGATATAGTGCCCTATACATGTTTATGCATATCGCTAGAATAAGCCACACTAAGATCCTTTGAATAAGAGATATACAATTTATACAATCAATCAATAAAATATGACGATTTTGCAGGCCTCGGGTCATATGCCACCTGGCCAATACCAGCACATGTGTGCGTGTCTGCATGTATGCTTGTGGCGTATTCATGATCTGTTTGCGGTGGGAACATGCCTCCAACGGCATCTTTTCCCCATAGGATTGAAATAAATTTGGACATGGAAGATATCATATTAGAAACATGATATGATATTTTAAAGAAGCTATAGGTGTTTAAACGTCTGTATTTTATTTGAGTGGACAGTAAAAACGGACAAAAATATTTCAGAGCGAAGTCATTTAAATAAATGCAAGAATAAAACCCGAATTTAAAACGTCATTTATGAATATAGACGTGTTATAATTAAGTAAACATGGTGTTTCCGAAACTATAAAGAATACATTTGAATATCTTTCCCATGCAAGGACTAACTTAAGGCTTTTGATATACGTCACTGCATTAGAATGAAAACGAAAAATGTATTAAAAAAAGTTGTCATCCGATAGGAAAGTGTTCAAAATAAAGAACAATTAAAAAAGTAAATTTCTATGAGCGAAACAAATATGACTAAGATTATAATATTTTGTAGTTCGAATTTAATACAGCCATTCTTTATTGAACGTATCCAAACTCTGAACGGTAATTCTTTGCACCATTTCTTTGAAGTTTGGGATGCTACCGTGTTTTTGTACGTGACAAAAGCCGTTTCCCCTCAGATACAGCTTTTGACCTGACGCAATGTGTATACATCATGTAGTTTGGACCAAATGCACTCTGTATTTAAGAGTTGAGGCTCTATTTTAACTTCTTTTTTTGATCATTGACACAATCAGTCGTGCCGACTAATCGGTTCGTCATGACAGAGGGACAGATCGTCTGTGGACTGAAAAACGTTAGTGCTTTTTATGCATACCATTGGAGTTCATCTGTATACTTAAAATTGGTTGTAAATAAATAACACTTCAGTTAATGTGCATTGATCTTGTCCGGTAAATCTACAGATTTATCTGTAGCGCAAGGTCTCATAAAATAACTTCCATGAACAATACTATTATATTAATACATCGGAAGAATATTAATGAAAATCCAGATATTTTAGGTGTAATAAGTAGACCGGCTAATTTCAATGCAGAATACAAACAACAATGCATGAATGATTTAGAAAAAAATAAAAATAAGAATTTGCGAAATACATAAAAAAACATGTATAAGGATACTTTATCGATTTTATGTTTTCTTAAACTGATTTTAAGCATTGAAATACCGTACCACTTCTATTTATATATATTTTCGCAAATAAATTATAGTTGTGATAAAATGTTAAATTAGGATCATACAAGTTAAGTTTATTTACAGCCATTCCGGATCGAACGTATCCAAATTCGAACGGTAAATCTTTCCACCATTTCTTTGCAGTTCGGGATGAACCGTTTCCCCAGAGGTAAAGCTATACATTGTGTAGTTTGGACCAAATGCACTATGCATTTTAAGGTTGATTTTACTAGTTTCTTTGATCAATCGGTTCGTCATGACAGAGGGACAGATTGTCGGCGAATTGAAAAATGTTATACGTAGTGTTTTTTATGCATACTATCGGAGGTCATCTGCACACTTACAATTGGTTGTTAATAAATTACACTTGTATGATCGTAATTCAACATTTTATTACAATTATAATTGTATTTGCGAAAATATATAATTACAAGGGAATTTGAATACTTAAAATCAGTTTAAGAAAATATCAAATCGATAAAGATTTTTTAAACATGATTTTTATGCATTTGGCAAATTCTTTTTTAATTTTGATTTTTTTTAATTGTTCATTGTATTGTTGTTTGTATTCTGCATTGAAATCAGCCGGTCTTCTTATAACACCTAAAACATCTGGATTATTTTCCACATCGTCCGATTTGTAAATAGAATATTATTGTTCATGGAAGTTATTTTATGAGACTTTGCTCTACAGATCAATCTGTAGATTTACCTGACAAGATCAATGCACATTTCTGTTGACCATCCGAGTTTAAAAGACTGAAGCGTAATTTATTTACAATCAATTTTAAGTGTAAAGTTGACCTCCAATAGTATGCATAAAAAACACTACGTAAAATGTTTTTAAATTCACCGACAATCTGTCCCTCTGTCATGACGAACCGATTAGTCGGCACGACTGACTGTGTCAATGATCAAAGAAAATAGTAAAATTAGCCTCAACCCTAAAATGCATAGTGCATTTGGCCCAAACTACACAATGTATACACATTGGGTCATCCTCAATATCCACATCCTCGATATCCAGGGGTTACGCTCACTTTCGCTCTCTACACGGCACGAAGATAGCTGTTTGATTGGTGTCAGGTAAAACATCCTGACCAATCACTAGGCTGATGCTTGCTCTTTGAAGATCACAGAGCGACACTCGACTTCAAAGCCTGGCAGTTTTTACCGTTACCTGACCGCGAGATTCTTTTGATGCACATCAGAGGATCGAACTAGTCTTCTTGTCTCATCAACAAGGTGGCGTACTCCAAGCCTTCAATTTTGCTATGGCATATTCCAGGGGTGTAGAGAGCGAAAGTGAGCGTAACCCCTGGATATCGAGGACATTGGGTCAGATCAACTGCTGTACCTGAGGGGAAACGGCTTTTGTCACGTACACAAACATAGTAACATCCCGAACATCAAACAAATGGTGCAAAGATTTACCGTTCGGAGTTCGGATACGATCAATCCGAAGTGGCGCTATATGTCCCTTGTGGTCTAATTGGTAGCATGTCGAATTGTTCTTCAGATGTAGTTTTCGCTTTGAGAACGTGACATTACTTGACTTTGAGCTAGATGTATATAAAGGGAGTCGTCAATGAATCCGAAGACGCTAACCCCTCCGGAACGCATGGTGTTATTCTCCTTGTAATTTTTCGCAAGGATCTCCATATCAATCCTTCATTTGTACATTTTTGTGCCCTAGTTATCGTTTTTGATTTCTTATGACATTTTTGTTGACACTTAATTAAGTGTTCCTTTGTTTTTTTCATACGCAATTATGACATATTATTTGGTAAATTGTACGAACAGTAAAAAGAGTAATTACTAACTATGAAATATGGCGTTTGATTTCTGAGAATATGCAAAGGTAAATATAGGTCAGAAACTATTTTTTAAATGTTTGATACCTTTCTGCATCAGCGGGATTAATGCAAATAAACAAAGCCAAACTGACCGGTTGACTGTTTTTGACGTTATGGAACATTGTACATCCGATAATGACACTTGATTAACAATAGAATAGAAAATAACACACTTGGCATACCGTAAGCACACAGAATCCAAAAAAAACACGACGACAGAAACCAAGGAAAGGCCACACAAAAACAAAAGACATGATGAATTCCTTCAGTAACCGGAGATGGAGCGAGTGCCGCGGTAGACTATAAGTATTAAACAAACCGTATGTGTGACGCCTGTTATAATGTCGCATGTCTAACCCTCGACAGTATATTGGTCACACATGTTCTAAGACAAAGCTGATATTACTTGAATCAGGGCACACACTATTATCACATTGACTGACTTTAGATCGTGACGACAATATATTGTATACAATTATCAACGTAGATATAAATGGTGGCTTCGTATATTGATTTATTTCTCTTGAACACCTTTTACTTCGATACAATTCTGCAGTGGTGGATCGCACGTGACATGTAAGATCCGTAAGCATGGGAGACTGGTGTGTAACAATTAAGGAAAGGAACGTATACGTCGGAGAAATGAATATAAAAGGGCACTTATGATTTTGGTAACGGAGCGAGTAATATTGTCAAAGATTATCAGACCGCACGAAATAGCAAGTGGTGTCTGTAATTTGAAATTTTGAAAGTCGTGTAAAATCTAGCTCCAAAACACCAACTTCATATCTTTATATAAAATCGAAGTATGAGTAATTATCTGATCTCCATTTTAACACATTCTGTGAGATCAATTTTCATGATAATACAAAAAAAACAAATCTACAA